AATTGAGATACTACATCTTCCTTGTATGCATACTTCTTTATAGTGAACTGGGCTATTAAGTAATAAAGGTTGTCTGATGCTAATATTACTTCATGCTTGCTCCTTAATTTAATATTGCGTGACTTATCGGACACTTATTTGCTTACTAGAATTCAGGTACTTGTTTTCTGTCTGTGACCAGCAAATTTCATTTATTTAAATTAAATCCCAAGACTCTGCTACAATCATATGAAACCATTCGGTGACATCAGACTGTTTTCTGAGCAATTGATTTCTAAATCGGGGCGCCCCAATCGAAAAATTAGTTGTGTGCAGAAATTAGGTTTTCTTTGTAAAATCTAGCCTTGCGTTACTGTGTTAGTCATTTTCTACAAATTCATGCGTCATGTTTATGTTGCTTTTTTTGTTTCTTTATTGAAAATTGAACTTAAAAATAAGATAAAGGCTAGACTTGCATGCAAAAGGTCATATTATTTCTGTGCATACTTTCTGCATGGCATCCTTATGCTGAAATAAAGACTGCAGCTAGCAAAGTTGAAACAGGAACTTCAGGAGTTTTAAGAGATACAAATTATTTTAATTTGTATTTCATTATTTAAATATTGTACTGCAAACTGAATTTTCAGTTTATCTGTTTAAAAAAGAAGTACGTATATGTATATAAAGGAACATGCAAAGTGAAGTCCATACAAGGAATTGTTAAGCATATTCCAGTGATGTTGGGAGCGCTTCCCAAGCCGTAGGTCCTTACATCAGAGAACAAAATCAAACTAACTAGAAAGTCTTTCATTATACCTGCTATCAGTGTTGCACTCATCACAGAGATGAGTGAGAGAGATTTTTGTCTTTGCACCCGAATACATTCATATTAGAAGAACTGTTTTTTGTCAACCGAAGAAAAGTTATTTGATTGTTTACTCAGTAAATACACATTTGGGGTTGGGTATTTGACAAACTTTGTCCTTGATAGAATGATACAACTCATGCCTACCCCTCTGGAGTACTTTTGGGAGGCGGGGGGGGGGGGGGGGAACAGTACTATATATGTAGAAGTGTTGGTTTAATAAATAGAAAAGATTATTTTAACCATTCTGAGTAGCTACAGTAAGGCTTGTTGAAGACAGGATACATTCCCCTTTTTGGACCAGAAAACAGGGAAGTGGTCGTGAAACTCACAGGTGTTATTTCAGATGTTTAGTCAAATCCAAGACTAACTTAGGCAGAACTGCATTTCTTTTGGGAGTGGCTTAATGTGGTGATGTATTTACATCCTGAAAGAGCATTTTTGTTAGCGATTTGGAACACGAACTGGTTGACTGAAGAGCTCTGCTCTAGTCTCCCTTGCATGAAATTGTAAAAGTAAAGGACTATTTTAAAATCTGAGTGTCTTGGCTCGGCTACAGAATTCCTCACACAAAAAACAGTTTGGAGCCAATTTTAAAACTATAAACTATAAACAGCATGCATGCTGAAGCATCACACAAAGTGGGAGCCAGCAATCTGTGGCTATATTGTTGGAAGAGATCTGAAAAAATTTCTGTCTTGTCCGGTGCAGCAATCACTGTAGCATTCTGCATTGCTCATTCTGTGTGCTCAACTTGATGTCTGTATTGATTTTGTTAAAAAGGAGAATTTCTGGATATTAACTTTACATAGTTGTTTCTTTCATTTACAAGTTGGAGATTCATGGAGTGCTCCGAGTAGGGAGGTATGACTGATCATTGGAACCCTTAATAGCAATGCAAGATCAAAAGAGAATATTTTAAATAGATTTTTTTTCATTTATAGCTGGAATAGCCATAATAACTATTTTATTGGCAGTCCAGGTAGGGTAAATTAACAGGCATTAGAAATAAGGGAATGATGATCATGCTTAAATGTTTCATATTAAATTATTTTTGGAAGGCAACTTAAAGGATCCATTTGTATTTACTGTTAATTGTACTCGCACAACAGTGGTTTAATTTAATCCAAAGGGTTTTGACATGCTGCTCATGAGAGAGTGAGTGCAACTGGAGCTGGCAATTTACCATGAATTCTTTCCTTTAAAAATTCTTGCCATTCTTTAACACGTACACTCCTGTGTGCATGCGTGCATGTATCGTATGTGTGCACATGGTTACTTTACATGAAAATAAGAGACTTATCACCTATTTAAAGAACTTGCATGAAATATTTCACATTGTAGCTCTAAAAGCATGCATCACGCTAGAATCTTTCCTTACTTAAACAGGAGGAAGTGCAAGTGGCTATTAGAAGATTGGTCTTGTATTTGAAACACTGACTTTTGTATCCATGTTTCTGTTATCTTATTTACATATGCATAATATATGTAAAACATTTTTATTTAAGCTGTTATATTTATTACACAGAATATTCAAAATATGTTGTATTAAGGTGTCTGTAAGTGTAAAAAAGTAAAAAATAGTGCTAAGAGAATTATCCATCATATAGTCTATTGTTAAGCTGTAGTAAACTTTCCAGGACTGTGTATATAGGTATACTTCATAGAGAACAAAGGGACTGCTATATCTGAGTAGAACAATGGCAGGAAGATTTATAATCCTTTAGGAGGAGTGAATGTATCTTGTGTTATGAGAAGTGCAATGTGTCCAGTTTGTATGAGGTTCTGCCACTATCAAAGTCTTTAGTGGGAGGGGCAAGATTGATAGGAGCCTGAGGAATTGTGTTTCCTGAAGGCAATGGAGGGAGATTGATGATACTTTCCTCCCCCATCCCCACACTGATGCACCCCACCATGGGTACTTAGCTCTTTTATGTAAAACAGATCATCATTGAGCTGCAGTACAGGCATTCGCTGACCCTACTGCATACTGTAAACAGGTCAGACCATACAAGACAGATTTCCAGTTGGTCCTCGCAGGCTTTTATTGCCTTCCTGATCAGAGTGTGTGTTATTCTAGACTCAGAACCAAGACAGGACATTTCATAATTTACAGGCATTTCTAGGGGGCTTTTCACTGCAGTATCTGAAGTGCAACAGGAAAATAGGATAGAGAAGGGAAAACCCCATCAGGGGAAGGGATAGCTCAGTGGTTTGAGCATTGGCCTGCTAAACCCAGGGTTGTGAGTTCAATCCTTGAGGGAGCCACTTGGTGATCTGGGGCAAAATCAGTACTTGGTCCTGCTATGAAGGCAGGGGGCTGGACTCGATGACCTTTCAAGGTCCCTTCCAGTTCTAGGAGATGGGATATCTCCATTAATTATTATTATTATTATTATTATTATTATGTGTATTTAGTCATTCTGTCTGTTTGGTCCAGAGACTGCAAATTTCAGTCCTTTGGTCAAACTATTGTTTCACGTGAATGTTTGGCCAAATGACTAAAACTTTCAGGCATTTGGTCAAATTACTGAAAATATAACAGATCGAGGCATATAATCTATTTGGTAATGCTGGAATGGGGGGAGGAGGAATGATAGCAGGGAAGTTGGAATGCCAAACGAGACAGAGACATGGGATGGCAGAGGAAAGGAATTGGAGAGATGGACTAGGGATAACCAGGGATTTTGTTTAATGTTTTTTTCAAAAAATTGATTTGCAGTGCAATGAGATGACTTTCTTTACACAACCACTAATTTAGTTCATTGGAATCTAAGGCCATTTCCACGCTACCATTATGGCATGATTGGCTCTAAATATGGTTTTATATCTGTGCATAACAATTGTATCTACCCTGATATTTTAGTCGTCTTCCGCCATGGCAGCTAGTGAAGAAGCATTTTACCACTGTGTCATTTGACCCTGCTGGGATCTGGTCCGACCACAGTGGTGTAAAAAAAGCTTGTGGTCAATCTGTTCCATTACCCACTGTTGCTAGCACTGCTGGAGCTGCACTGGTGCTAGAGTAATGATGGGAGAATTTCCTAAAATTCTGTGTGTGGATCAGAGCAGTAAGATTGATATTTGGTTACTAACTATGACAGGTGACGATGTATTTTTCCCCTGCCAGAGGCTTAGGCTTGGTCCATGGTTCTTACTCTTTTTGTTCTACCCATTCTTTTTGTTGTGTGACCAGAGCCCTCTTCCTGTAATGGTTTAGCCAGGCTTTCTTCTTTCCATCTGTCTTTGTAATAGGTCATTCAAGTGTGCAATTCACCATGAACTGCTGGTGCTGCTCTCTTTCCGTGTCATACATGCACTTTTATCCCCTGCTAAGGTGCAATGGGGATAGGTGTTTTTTGTTTGGCTTTTCATTTATTTTATTTTAAAAAAATGCATCAGAAGAGTTGCCCAGAAAGACCTATCATAATCACATAGCAAAAATGTTAAATTGCTTTTCTTGTATATACTTTCTGATCTGTTGTGTCATGCAGGTTTGATATTATAGAGAGTTGCTCTGTGGCATTTCTAAGTGAGTCCTTTCCCCACCCTCGCTTATTATAGTGCATTATTTATTTATAAACCCCTCCAGTGTGTATTTTACTTTGAAATGTTCACAGCTGGAGTGTAACCATTTACAAAATTAATTCAGGGAGTCCAAATAAGCACATTCCTTTGGTTTACCGTTCATGGTACAAGTAATTTTTTCCATTGGGTGAAAGCTTTCAAGTCTTAGATCCAGTGGAGTAGGTTGGAACTGTATTCAGATTTCCCCTAAGAGGTGATAATTCATTTAGCTGTAAGTAAAAGCCAGATGAGCACATTATTATTTAGACCAAAAAGTGTGCTGTCAGCTCAGTATGGGATGCAGTACCACAAACAGGAGGGAATTTAGTGTATCTCTCCAAAAGGAAGTACGTTGAAGTATTTCCTTCTAATAAATCACAACTAAACTGGTACCTAAAATTACATGTTGTCTCCTTGATTTATGTACAGCCCTCATCGTGGAATAATATTAATAGTTACAGCAGTGATTACGGATCATTATACTCAATAGATTTGATTCTGTTTGTATGCTTTCTATCATGAATGATATTCGGAGAGTACATTAATTGATCTGAATTTTCTAAGCAGCATACTTTGTTTTGTTTTACAGACTTTGTCCATTGGAGTACTTGATATCTTTGGGTTTGAAGATTATGAAAATAACAGCTTTGAACAATTCTGCATTAACTTTGCTAATGAACGCTTACAGCACTACTTTAACCAACACATCTTTAAACTAGAGCAGGTAGGTCTGAATATTCACTGCATGTTACAAATGACAATTTGCATAGACATATTATACCTTATCGACTTGAAGTCGATTTTTGAATTACAGTGTAAGTTTTTTATGTATGAATCTGTCCTTTAATGGATTTATTCATATTTAAAATCTAAGATGTGTTTTTTACTAGTCATTACCTGTAAAAGCCATCGTGCCCTAGATCTCCTATGTCAAATGACTCCTCCATCCTGGGCCAGCGCTGAACTCAGAAGCACACATAGTTCATGTGAGGATCCTGAAGACCTCAACTGTTATACATTTGTCTTCCATGTGTGCACTCTGAGGTTCCCCAAATGAGAAGTATCTCTCTTGCCTTTATGTGGACTCGCTGCCATGCTATCTGGATGCCACATTTATTCAAAGTTCACACTCTCCCTTCCTCCAGTGTCTTTACTGCTTCTCAGTGAGGGTGGAGTTTCTTTCACTTGTTTTTTTTAAGGCAAAGCATAGACAGCCATTACATTGCCTTTATTACAGGAAGGCTTGTACAAACCACTTGGTCATGTGTTGTGTCCAAAAGGTGCCAAGACCTGGGTCATTCTAATTTCTGATGGTCAAGGTCCTGCAGCCAAGGATGTTCAGACTCTGGAGAGTTTTGTCGTGACTGATCCAGAGCTGTCAAGGTGTGTCTTGGAGGAAAAATGGTTCTTTAAGATATCTTAGCCCTAATCCATTGAGGGCTTTAAAAATCAGAAAAAAAACCCCCAAGAAACAGTTTTGCTACTGAATGGGGAGCCATAAAACTCAGAGACCCACTATGTTGTGTTCTTCTGTGACTGTATTGTGTGGTAGGTAGGCTCCTTCATAAGTATTGTAAGTTGCAGGATGTCTCCTGCAATCCTAGGTAAAACATGCTGCATTAGAAGTGGCAAGGCATGGACCACTGTTGCTACAACCACATTTGATAGAAAAGGGTATAGCCTCCTGGCTAGCCAAAGGTGGAAAAAGACATTTCCAGTCACCTATTGTTTGGTATCCAGCAGCCCTACACAGGTGTATCAAGAACAGATTTTTTAAGAGCCAGTTATTTCAAGTTGTGAAATGAACATTCTTCTTCGAATGATTGTTCATGTCCATTACACATTAGGTGTGCGCGTGCCGCGTGCATGGACGTCGGAAACTTTTTCCCTCAGTGGCTCCCGTCGGGCCGGCAGGGCCCCCCCTCCCGCCAGAGCGGCGCCCCGCTCTAGGGTATATATATCCCTGCTGGCCCGACCCTCCCTCAGTTCCTTCTTACCGTCCGTGGCGGCGTTGGAACAATTGTCTCTCGTCTGAGAGTGTCCCTTAGCATAGTCGTTAGTGTTATCTTTACAGTTATCAGTTCTTTAGTAGCTAGTATTAAGCTTAGCAGTTAACAGTTCGTTAGAAATACTCAAACTTCTTGTATTAGGTGTTTGGTCAACCCTGGCACCGGCCCTGGGTGGCGGGACATGCCGCACGCCCAAGGCTTCAAGGCTTGTGCCACGTGCCGTAAGCCTATGCCATTAAGCGATCCACATGACTCATGTCTCTGTTGCCTGGGGGAAGCACACCAAAAAGAGCGCTGCAAGATCTGTAAGGATTTCAAGCACAGGACTAAGAAAGAGAGAGACTTTCGCCTTAAGCAGCTGCTCATGGAGACGGCGTTACAGCCCTCCACTTCGACGGCACCGTCAGCCTCGGTGTGGAGTGCCCCGGCATCGGTCCGTGATCCAGCGCTGGCGGGGCACCCTAAGCCCACGGCACCGAATCAGCGAGAGCACCTCCGGCATCGGTCGTCTTCGCCAACAAAATCGAAGGGCCAACCCAAGGCCCGAGGACACTCCCCGCATAAGAGGGCAGCGCCCACGAAGACCTCGAGTGCGCCTAAGGCCGTTGCGGCCCCGGCACAGGTCCCGGTGTCAGTGGCTCCGGCATCGAAAGGCCCGTCGAGCCCCGGGATAGGCGCGTCGAGTGAGGAGGAAGGGCTGGAGGAGCTTTTGGAACAGCCCTCCACCCCGGACACATTTGAGGCAGCAAAGGACCTCATTGAATTGTCCACTGAGAGCCCCATCCAAACTAAAGTCGTTCCGCCGAGACTGCCATCCAGAGGCAAGCCGGCAATGGTGCGCCCATCACGGTCGCCTTCACGGCGCCGGTCCCGGTCGAGCTCTGCCTCGGTGGACTCCCGGCTTCCCTCCACGCAGAGAGCTCCACAGCCGTCGGGCCTCAATAAGCGGCCGGCACCGACCCAGCAGCCCTACTCGAGTAGGCACCAGGACGTGTCGGTTACACGATCCCCGAGACCGACCACCCGTAGTCGTTCCCGATCCCGTGGTCACCGGTACCGATCCAGGTCCAGATCGGCAAGACGCTACTCCAGGTCCCGGTCACGGAGGCACTACTCTCCGACCCCGGAACGGCACCGTCCCATGGCACCGCCGTGGCCTACCAGATCACCGTCCGTGGTTTCGGAGGCAGACTCGGGCCGGTACGGCGGATATGCCCACAGGGCACAGGCCAGTAGGGACCACGAAGCCGCTTGGCATCCTCAATGGGGCCAGCCAGGACAATGGCCATTCTGGACCCCTTGGGCCTACCACCAGCAAGGCCCCCCATCCAGGACCTCGAGATCTGGGCCCTCAGGACACCGGTCCCGCTCTCCGCAGTGGCGCCCGCCCTCTCGCAAGGAGGCCATGGTCTCCAGACCACTGGAGCGAGAAGGGGCAGACTCGGCACCGAGCCTGGTACCGTCTCAGACCCACGTCATGGGACGGGCCCCAGAGGAGCGCCCAGTCGGTGAGGAGTTGCAGGAAGACGAAGATGCACAAAAGGCCCTGACCTCTTCCTCCTCACCAGACGAAGCCGTGGCGGACACAACAGTGTCTGGCCCTCCCCCGATTGATCATCGGGCGCATCAGGAACTGCTCCGCCGTGTAGCCCTCAATCTGGGCTTGCAGGCGGAGGAGACGGTAGAGCAGGAGGACCCCAGGGTCGACATCTTAAGCCCGGAGGGCCCCTCCAGGATCGCGCTCCCGATCATAAAAACGGTCCAGTCCAACTACAAAACAGTATGGCAAACACCGGCCTCCAGTGCACCAACTGTGAAAGGCGTGGAGAGGAAATACTTCGCCCCATCTAAAGGGTTTGACTTCCTCTTCTCTCACCCAACTCCCTGTTCGCTGGTCGTCTCTGCGGTCAACGAACGAGAGCGTCATGGCCAGCAAGCCCCGGCCCCCAAGGCCAAGGAGGCGAAACGCTTGGACTTATTTGGGAGAAAGGTCTACTCATCCGGGGGCCTCCAGTTGAGGATCGCTAATCAGCAAGCGATTCTGAACAGACACAACTTTAATTCTTGGGCATCAGTCTCCAAGTTTAAGGAATCCCTGCCTCAGGACTCACAACCCGAGTTTACGGCTCTAGTGGACGAAGGGAAGGCGGTAGCCAAAACCTCCCTACAGGCCTCCCTTGACTCCGCGGACGCAGCTGCTAGGACAATCGCGTCAGGGGTAGTAATGAGACGCTCGGCATGGTTACAGGCTTCCGGCCTTCCACCAGAGGTGCAAAACACCCTCCAAGACCTTCCATTCGAGGGGTCAGGCTTGTTTTCGGACCAGACGGATGCCAGACTACATAGCCTCAAAGACTCTCGAGCGACCCTCAAGTCGTTGGGAATGCATACCCCAGTGACACAGAGGAAACCCTTCAAGCCCCAACCACCGCAGAGCCAGTACCACCCTTGTCCTCGACAGGAACCGTACCGCAGACGTGGCAGGGATAACAGGCGGAGACGTAACAATACGCCTAACCAGGGCCAAAATCATGGCCAAGGCAAGCCGCAGCCAGGAAATAAACCAGGGTTTTGAAGCTGCGATCAAGGACAGCGTACCACACTCTATTCCGGATCCACCTCTATGTTTCAGGGACCGCCTGTCCCGTGTTTACCGTGCTTGGTCACATATAACATCGGACCGCTGGGTCCTGCGCACGGTGGAGGCGGGCTATACCCTTCAGTTCTCCTCGCTCCCTCCCTCCCATCCCCCTTCCCCGTCCCTCTTCAGGGACCCCTCTCACAAACAACTCCTCATGCAGGAGGTGCGGACCCTCCTCACAGTAGGAGCAGTGGAAGAGGTCCCCCCGGACCTAAGGGGGAAAGGATTCTACTCCAGGTATTTCCTGATTCCCAAAGCAAAAGGGGGCCTCCGTCCCATTTTGGACCTACGCGGACTAAACAAATTTCTGATCAAAACATGTTTCCGTATGGTCTCCCTTGGAACTATTATCCCATCCCTGGATCCGGGGGATTGGTACGCTGCCCTCCATATGAAAGATGCATATTTTCACATCGCCATCCGCCCGGCCCACCGGCGGTTCCTGCGCTTCACCATCAACCAGCGCCATTTTCAATTTACGGTCCTGCCCTTCGGCCTGGCAACGGCCCCACGAGTGTTCACAAAATGCATGTCCGTCGTGGCAGCTTTTCTTCGGAAGAGAAGGATGCGAGTGTACCTGTACTTGGACGACTGGCTCCTCGCGGGCAGGTCGGAGGCCGAGGTCCGCTCCCACGTGACGCTGGCTCTACAGGTGTTCTGCAAGCTCGGCCTACTGGTCAATGTGCCCAAGTCCTCACTGATCCCCACGCAGAGACTGGACTTCATAGGAGCGGTCCTGGACTCGGTGGTGGCGCGGGCAAGTCTTCCAGTGTCACGGTTCTTGGTCATTCAAAGGGTCGTAGGCTCCATCCAACAATTTCCCACGACTATGGCCAGGTGCTGCACCCAACTCTTGGGGCACATGGCGGCCTGCACACATGTAGTCAGACATGCCCGCCTAAGACTCAGGCCATTACAGTTGTGGCTGGTCCAAAAGTATCGCCCCAACAGAGACCCTTTAGACCTGGTGGTGACAATCCCGGCTCGGGTGTTGAACTCCCTCCGCTGGTGGCTTGATCAGCAGCAGGTTTGTGAGGGGGTCCCCTTCGCTGCCCCGCAACCCACTCTGACGTT